CATACACTTTACATACTGTATTTGACATGTAGAAAAATCTTTTTTACATTTTTATTACCTTTAATTTTATTTATGCAGACATCCTTACTGGACAGGCATGTGTTTTTTCAGCCAAGATTTATGTTTTGTAACCCTATATGACATATTTCCATCAGCTAAGGTTGCACATTGAAAAATTTGTTCCACAGTCACCACATCTATTGAGAAGCAGTTTTCAATCATATAATGCAATGTAAGTTTCTTTTTCCCCCCATTGCTTCAAATAGTTTGTGTGACAACACGCAACAACCCCAGTGGAGCTGCCACCCAGCAGCACTGATCTGATCTGATGGAGTGGAACAACATTTAATCAGAGTTTAAGTCCCTGTTGTGCTTTTGTTTTATTATTTTGCAGATCTTAAGCCCCCCTCCACCGTTCTTTCCACTGACTTTACACACCTGATCCCCATGACCTGAATCCAACAAAGAGGGTGGTGATATGTAGCTGAACTTACCCCCAGTGCCCCCTCTCACCGCCACAGGCCAAACAAGATCAACTGGCCAGTTAATCAGCCCCCAAATGTAGACCTGTGAATTTTTGTGTGAGCTGAGAGACTCGTCCTGACCCCTTTGCTGTGGATTAACAAATGTTAGGCATGACACAGCACTTACTTGCGGTTTATTTTTAACCCATCTTTTACATTACATAAAAAATGTAATACGTCTTGAGTGGTATTGCAATACAATCAGGCCGTCTGTGGCAACAGCTACAGCTCACAGCATGACCATCATGTGCCAGGGTTCAGATCTGTGCCAGGGTTCAGATTTGTGCCATCCCATAATGACTCCTTCAGACAAACACAAACACACACACACACACACACACACATACAGTGGTAGTCCCTCACGTGGGCTTGAGGTAGTTATAGAGGGCACTGAGTCCTCCTTGCAGCACCTCTTTTATAGGCTTGAGGAGGGGGTTGTGGATAATATGAAGTCCTTTATCCAGCGGGTGGCAGGCTAACCTCCCAAGCTTGCTCAGTAGGTACATTTCCATTGGCACACTTTGCAGGTCATTGAAGTCAACATTGAGGAGTTCTAAAGACTCCAGGAAGCACAGCGTCTTAGGCAGTGTGTGGATACTGTTTCCCTCCACAATAAGGATCTTCAGGTTAACCAAGTCCTGGATCTGGTCCGCGATGGTCTCCAGACGGTTGCAAGCCAGGTGGAGGAAGACCAGGCCCTTCATGCTGTAGACGCAGGTGGGGATGTGAACAATGCGGTTGTGGCTAAGATTGAGTTTAGTTAGATTATGCATGGTGGCCAAGCTGCCAGGGAGGCCTGTGATCTGGTTGTTGGCCAGGCTGAGTACCTCTAGGCACGTGCAGGAGCCCAGCTCCTCTGGGACCTCTCTTAGACGATTACGACAGGCGAAGAGCACCCGCAGCTTCTTCAGTAGGCTGATTTCAGGCGGGAGGCTGGATAGATTGTTCCCCCACAAATTGAGGATCACCAGATTGTCCAGAGCGCCCAGGGCAGGGGGCAAAGAGCACAAGGAATTCATGGACAAGTTTAGCTTCTGCAGTTCTCGGAGCTCCCACAGCTCAGTGGGGGTCTCATCAAGCGCCCGCTGCGCCAGACTGAGGGTGCTGTAGCCAAAGTGCACTGTCGCGTGTCTGCGGATCCTCTCAGCAGCCGAGGACCGGCTGGGCTGGTCGTCTCTCCCGGCACTCGTCCTCCTTTGGCTAACTCTCACCTCATTCAGCTCCTTGTTGGAGAAACTGCGAGATTGCTTCCCACCCATCGTCCTCGCAGTACTGTTGTTTCTGTCACCTTTAATAAGATGTCAGCATGCGATTAGCTGAACAATGAGAGGATTGCTAAGGATAATGGCTGCTGATTGATCTCAAGGGTTCTTGAGCAAGCCACATGATCACTTCTACAGGTTACTGCAGAACTCCTGATCTTTGGCAGCAGTTGAATCCTGGCTGAGTTTTGCTCACCGAGTTGAGTTGCAGGCTGCTGTAACTGAGAACTATTGGGGCTCGTGGTTTGTGTCTCTCAGATCAACTGCCTGTCTTACTGGGTTTCATACCCCAGCTGGTCCTGTCACTTCACATGTCCACAGATAGCACCCTGCTCCCCACCCACTACCAGAGGGCAGAGCTGGGGATAGGATGCTGTGTGAGCTCAATCAGATGAGGTCACTGCCATGATCTCACAGTGTAACACACAGAAATACATTGGTGCTCAGTAATGCTGCCACACGTGGTGCAAATTATTCTGTTAGCTACACCTGCTATCTTGTAGTGTATTACATTTTGCACTTAAAATAACTCAGATATTCAGCATACCATCTCTGACTGACCATAAGCTCTTTTCACTTTTGTTTTTTTCACGTCGCCCCTTGTGCCTTTGTGCATGATCTCTTGTCTCAACTTAAATATGGCACCAAGCCGACAGCCGCCGTGAAAACACTGAATCATCTCTCAAAAAAGTAACAGTTCTTAAAGGTATTAGTGGAACCTTATGCACAGACATGCGCTGGTTTAATCTCAAGAGCAAAAAGGACATGGAACATTCCAGTGTGTTCCTAGAAAACTCTGCTGCTATTCAAAATCTCATTCATGTGGCCCAGAGGGGAGAATCCTTCTTCATGTAAAAGCATACACTGTGGTGCATTTACATTTTTAAATTTGTCTTTCCCCCCAGCAACTTACACACTGAGGGAAAAAGTTCTTCATGCTTTCTCTCTAAAGAGTTCTTTAAGTATCTTCGTGTGTTCACTGAAAGCTATTTGTTCCACTTCCTTTCAAAATGTCAAATTAGAAAAAAAGATTCAAATATTATAATTTTCCAGTATTTACCTTGAGTCGTCTGCCTAATTAGCTCATAGCTGCAGGGCAGTGGAGATATCCCATCGTGCCATCTGTTGAGACGCAGGTTAGTCAGTGTGTCACAGACAAACACATTCACTCCTAGAGGCACTTGAGGGAATCCATTCAAGGTACTTGTACTTCACATGGGTATTTCCATGTCATGCTACTTTATACTTATATTCTACTACAATTCAGAGTGAGATATAATCTATTTTACTGCACTACATTTATTTGACAGCTTTAGTAACTTAGATTAAGATTTTACAGACAAAACATGATGAGTTTATGTTGCACAAGTAAAAATTAAATTACCCAGCACCATATAAGATTATTATATTGACCAACTACAACAGCAAAATGTTGCTTACATGTTAATGCAGCAGCATTTTAAGGCGTGTGTGTGATTTATCCTTCAAGGATTTATACTTAGGGATTATTCCTGGCTCCATATGAGCAGAGGAAATCTCCGCTTGTTGCTAGGCTAGTTTATACAATATACAATGCCATAGGCCTTTTGCTAATAGCGTTAGCATGCTATATTTGTCTGGAAAACGTGTTTAGTATAAGGCAGTTGTTTTGCCAGTGAACCGTGTGAGTTGTAATGGAGCCAAATTTTGTAACGTTACCTTTGTTAAATGTTGCTGTTGTCCCTGGTTTCATGTGAGAAGAGGGAAAGTTCTCTAGTTGCTAGGTTAATTTATACAATTTAAAATGTCATAGGCTTGTGCTAATGACGTTAGCATGTTGTATTTGTGGGGAAAATGTGTCCAGCAAAAGACAAGTGCTTTGTCTGTGAATGCTGCGAATTATAGTGATGCCAATTTGTGTACGTGTGTTTGACATTGTCTCTATTAAGCCATGTTTAGTGTGTGTTTTAGATGTGTTTTGAATCAACTAAACTTTACAGCACTTCACAGCCAAGTGTGCTAGCTTAGCTAACAGGCTGCTAACTAGCTAACAGGCTATTTCCTTCAAATCAGTTGCCTCTGTTAATTGTCAAGTGAGATGAATATGATTAGAAAGTAATGTTAGTTATCTGAGTAACTAACATTACTTTATAATCATATTCATCTCACTTGACAATGGAAGTAGCCTTTTTCACAAAACATGCCATGTACCTGCAGGTCCCGTTTTTGTCAAGGTAATGTTGAACAAAATGTTGCAGGTGGTTTCTATCAGGTTTCTATCCATCTGTTAAGAAACGCACTTCATCATATAATTTAAAGATCTGGTCAAATGTTAGCTTTGTAGCGATATTATTAGCAATAAGCTAAAATCAGTTAGCCAAAAAAAAGATATGTTCACCTTTCTTTGTATTGGATGGATGTTTATTGTGGTGGTTGTGCCACTGTTTTTTGAGCTGCAGACCTTGCATACCGCTTTCCTCTTCATCAGCAATATAATCCTTGAATCCAAATTTTCATATTTTTGGACTAGGCCCTTCCATAATAGCTGCCTCATGCGTTAGCCTATGCTGGTCTGGCACATCCTAATAGGCCAAGTTTGCACACATTGCACTAGAAATTACTCAATCGTGTTTCAAAAACTCAAAAAAACAAAACATAACTTAATAATTTGAAGGAAATTGTAAATATTTAACTAAAAAAGTCAAGTCCTTACAATTCATCCATCTCAAGTCTCAGTCAAGTCTCAAATCATGAAGACTAAGTCAAAGCCAAGTAGAGTCTTCTATTAATGTTAGTCAAGCAGGTCTCAAGTCCTCAAATTTTCCACTTGATTCTGACTCTAGTCAAGTCATGTAACTCAAGTCCCCAACCTCTGCTAGTTGGGTCAGTATATTGTCCAATGTCACCAAAATGAGAAGTTGTATGTGGCTAATTGTAATTCCTAGTTCATTACTGTCACCTAGATCATTTACCAATTTAGCAGATGTCACAAACATTCATATTGGCTAAACAACAAAATAATTGTTCAGAGATTTGAATTTTTTTGAGAGAGAGAGTGAGAAAATTAAGAGTGTGAAAAACTGTACGTGATATTTTTCATGCCGGGCTTTTACTCGTAATGGAATATTTTCTTATTGTAGTGTTGTTACTTTTGCTTCATACTTTCTCCATTTCATATAACCTGCTTGTCTTTGGACTGAAGGAGGAAACTAAAGTGTCTGGAGGAAACCCACGCGGTCAGAGGAGAACATGCATACTTCACATTATAAGACCCTCGCTGGCCTGGTTTAAACTCAGGTCCTTCCTGCTGTGAGGCAACAGGGCTAAACACATAGTGAAGTCAAGTCTTTTAGCTTCAAGTCTTTTTTTTCACCCCATAGGGTTTTAAAATCTATACCGCATATGACACTCTCTCATACGGGATCCATTCAGATTTTTAGAAAAATCACATGAAGAGGAAGATAATATGACAAACTTCAGAAAGAGAAACAGAGGAGAGGTTAGACTTACAGGACAGGACAGCATGTACAGTACAGCATGTACACAGAGCTGTTGTGCCAATCATAACACAGGTCTCGGTAACATTTTACTGTAACCCTGTTAATGGGTGATTATTCAACTATCGTGATTTTCCGCCCCTGTCAGAAATAAGAAAAACAAAAACACTTTTTTTTTTTTTATTTCTTATTGTTGTCACATTGAAAAGGAACATACAGAAAATAAAATGTAAGATCAGTCATTGTTTTTATTATATAATATGTGCACTTATATGTGGGTGATTTGCTATATTTCTTTTGTCCCTGAGCCAATTGTTATCCATTCAATCCTGCATAATAATTTTAAATTTAATATTGATCTAATATAAGCTTCAAATAGAAATGACACATAAATGCACATCTTAATGAAATGCATTATGTGTTGTAAGATATTATAGTGTTTTTTTTAAAATGTCCTCTTTTTTCATAAAAAGAACCCCTGTCCTTTGAGGTTATTGTCATTCATTTCCATCACTTTGTTTATTGTGATGGAAAAGACATATAGTAATGTAAATTACCATGCCAGTGTTATCAGTAGTGTAGTGGAGGGATATGCAGGTATACAGGGTATACTCACCTATCACCCAAAAAACCATTGGAATATACACCAGTCAGCCAAAACATTAAAACCACTGGTGGGTGAAGTGAATAAAATTGACCATCTTGTTACAGTGCAATGTTCTGTTGGGAAACACTGGGTCCTGGCATCCATGTGGATGCTACTTGATGCCAACCTAGCAAAGTCGACAGAGGTAAAAATATGGGTCCCTCAAGAAAAAGGTTGGGTACCACTGCTATAAATAACACAATGTAGTTATAAGAGGACATGAGGGCATTTTGTATTCATGTACAGTTACTATTATAACTTATATGAAGACATATTTAGTATTATTACAAGAGGGTTATATTATATTGTCATTCATTATCTGTTTATACACCAGCACATAGTTATGGATGCTTCACAGGAGGAGTTTTGTAAAATGTAAAACTACATTTAAGTAAAATTGAATCTCTTAAATTGACTTTTGTTTCTCAAAACAAACCCTGTTTTCCTTTGTATCTTTTTTATAGCACCCATCATTTTCTAAGAGGTGTCGCTCAAGTGATTAACAAGATTTTTGCAACAGGAGAGGTCCACATTCACGAGCCGTGAACACGTTATATAAACGTTACGGGTGTAAATGGGACCTTGGACTTGATCCACTTTCCTCGACAGCCTCTCAGAGTCTGACCAGGACTTAGAGTGGCCTTAGTCATCATTCTTCTCCCAGTCCAGTAATCAAAGTACTTGGATGACAGTTAGCAGTGATATCCAACTCTGGGGACTTGGTGGCTGTGCTATGAGCACAGCTACATCAGCACTTATGAATGACAGGTTGAATCATGTGTTTGCTGAATTGGACACTGGAGATAGGGCTGTTGCGGTGCATTGCCCGCGCTCATCTGAGCATTTTTTAGTAAATTGTAACACCTTGTTATCACAGTAACTTTGTGTAGAAGCTGATTTCTGTCTGACATTTCATCACAAAGTCTTTAAACAGAGCCCTCAGATTTTAGGAGCACATCTGTGCTGCTGTTCTTGTGTATATGTGTGCCACAGCTAATTTCACAAACAGCAGGATTGCTATACCCTGCCATCCTCTATTTACATGAAAAATGACATCTCAGCTGTAACTGTCAGACCCCAATTGCAAACACACCCCCGGAGTGGCAACACGAGGCTCAGTACACAACACACGCTGTCAAATATGCAGGAAACCCATGGCTTCATATGCA